GACTGCTTCATACATGTTAAGCCTAGATGTTAAGATTCACATATGTTGATGATTATTGATTGTATCTTCTTGGTACCAGTATGTGACATCTCTCATTGTTACTTCTAATATTTTCACATTTGGCTTTTATTTTATCTTGATATTAAAATTTTGATAGATATTCCCACTTCCGAGAAGGTTATACTCATTTATACTTCATTTGACTTGCATGGTACGAGACTCCTCGTTTCCCTACTCTCTAATGTTACGCATTTTAAGGCCTGTGTATCCTGGCTTTCTGTTTTGATTGCTAGCTTGGGAAACTGGACCTGATACACAGTTCTGGCACTTTTAATCTTCATTTCTCTCACTGCCGATCATATTGTAATCACAGCCTCCCTGATTGGTGCACTCCAAATAGCGTCCTGACCGCGTTGTAGGATGGTGCTTGGAAAAAGTTGAGTTAATCATCTATTAAATCACATTTTATCCTTCCTGTTGGTGTTGCCAACAGGACTCAGGACTACGGACTCAGTTCTCTCTGAGGACAGAATTGGCCCAGATCCCCACTCAAATGTGTCTTCCCTTGGAGTCACTGTGGGCAAAGTGGAGACCAGTTCCTGCTATAGTTGCCCTGCACCAGCTGTAGGCGTAACTCAGGCTGCTGTGGTCCTCTGCTTGCTAGACGTCTGGTGACCACTCAGCTTGCGCTTCAAGGAGGCAGAGGGCCAAGAGGTGGACAGCCACGTCTCCAATCCTGCCCTTTTGCTGTTGGTTCTGCTGTGCACCCTGGTGCCCGAATTCCTAGCAGGATTTGGGGGTGCCAGGCTCCCCTGATTCCCATTAGTGACCCTGGCCTGAGTGACTCTGGAATTCTGCTGCACTTGGCTGGCAAGCCAGCAGCCGGGCTTGCTGCTACCCTGAGACCATTATGTGGCATCTTCTTCAGGGAGGTATATCGGTCAGGGAACTAATATCTCTTGCCCCCTGTGAGGCTCCTCTTAATATTCCTCTCAGCCTTGGTCTGCCTTTCTGTCACTCCACCTCCCACATGCTGACTTTTTGCTTTCACAAATAGCTGGTCTCCTTGAACAACTTTTGTAGAAGCTTAAAGGTAACATCCTTTGCATCTATAGAGTACTGTGTTCAAAGCACTTCCATATACATACTATCATTTGATCCTCACAAGAACTCTTTCAGGTATGTAGGTTAGGCATATATCCTGATTTCACTGCCGAGGAAATGGTGACAGTGATTAGGTGACATGCCCATCCTAGGGTGCTTAGTTAATGCGGACCTGGTATTAGAATGCAGTTTGGTTTTGGTTGGAGATTTCATTCATTCATTCATTCATTCATTCATTCATATATTCTTATTATATCAAGAGAAGGCAGAAAGGAAAGAGCAAGGGTTTGTGGGTAGACAAACTTTAATGTCACCCCCTGATTAGCTATGTGGCCCTTTGTCATGTACTTAGCTTTTCAGAAGTTTCCTTATTTGTAACATAGGGAAAGATTATGACATAATGTTTGTATGTGATTTCACAATACATGAAAATTATCTGGCAATAGAAGTGTCTGGCACATGGTAAGTTACAGGTAAAATGTTATTATAAATATATAATAGGTAAAATAGGTTACTGTAATAGGTATGCAATGGCCAAATATTGACAATTTTATAATGGCAGAAACTAGGTGACTACCATGCATTGAGTCCTTCCCTATTGTATATGAGGCCCTGCTCGACCCCAGGCATGGAAACAGAAGTGAGAAGAGGTCTTCTTTGTGTGCATGTTTTCTGAGACTGTGGAGGAGGGAGCCCGTGTCGGTTGCATTCCCCCTACCAAGAACGATGTTTACTGGGCAGTACGTGCCCCATAAATGCTTACTGAGCCTAACGGGCCCCCGCCTGCACGGAGAATACCAGCTAGTTAATATAGGCAGTCACATAACCGTACAATCGTAATACACTGTTAAGGGTATTTAAGTATAGATACATGCAGGCTATCGGGAGAGCGCAAAGGAAACAGTGCTCCATTCTACCGAGGGAGAGTGAAGTCCAATGCCAGGAGGCCGGGGCGAGGTTGGGTGCAAAGCCGCATAGAGCTGCCGCATCAAGACTAACTCTGGTCTGTCTGTGGAAGAAAGCAAAAGCAATTTGCTTGCCTTGGACAGCATGCTTGCTTTCAACTAACCCCCTTCTAATGTGTGAAATTGAGTTTGTATTCAAAGCAGCTTCTTTGTTTGTCTCCCAGTCCGTCTGTTGCTGGTATCTCCCTTAATGTATTGCTTTGTAAAGTGCTCTGCTCTATCCTGAGTATAAAAGAGATGCTCAGCAAAGCCAGATTCTATTCTTTCAGTGTCACAACTAGCCATTGCATAACAAAGTGTAATATATTGTGTGAGAAGAAATGGAGGAACACAGGAGATGTTTTTTTTTAAAAAAAGAGCAAATAAAACATCAAAGTAGGAGAGTGTAGAGTGCATTAAAGTTAATAAACTGTCATGGCAGAGTGGGCCACTTTTCAATGCGAAGGAATCTGATTTAGGGATTTGTAACTGTAGGATTAGAATCTCACTGGAATGAAGTTAGCCGCTGTTTTTGCCAAATTCTCAGTCTTTTGGTTCTCCTTGAGAACCGGTCTTTGAAATTGAACAGATTATTATTATAATTATTATTTTGTCAACAGCTTTTTGAGGCGCTAACGCTATCTGTCTTCCTCTGGATGATCAGTGCTGCTCACTTCCATATAGCAAGCGCTGCTTTGCTTTAAGCTCTAGGAGACGGAATACGGGCCCTGGATCTCTTGCTAAGTTGGACACAGTTCATCAGCATGGGTTTCCAGGGCCCATGTAGCCACTCCCCTGTTTCCACAAGGACACGGAGAAAACTGTCAGAAAACCGTCAGGAGCGAACTACGCTCAGGTGTGAACCACTGAGCTACTCGTCTTATTCACAAGTGACAGACAAGACAATCAATACAGGTCTCCTTCTTGGCAGTGTGGAGGGCTGACTACAACATTATGAGTTCCAAAATGTTTTCTGCCAAGAACTAGAATGGATTTTCTGCTTCTCCAGCCACAAAATGTCCCCAGCATCTTACTCCCAAATCATTAATGCCCTTTGGAGTTGGTCTGTTCAGACCAAATACTTCCTTACCTTTCTTTTCAACATCCTCTTTTCTTTTTGTTATTTTCTTTTTGTTAGTTGAACTCTCAGACTTTTGAGATCCCAGTATCTCGCCTTTCAAACAAGAAGATACTAAGCAGCATTTTCATCCTTGACCTTTGTAGGAGAATGAGAATCCCTCGTTCTTGTTTTGGGTGCAGTCGGTAGAATGTTTCCTCAGGAACAAAAATGCCATGTTTACATACTAGCACACTGGCATTATAATACCACTGACCTTGGGAAAATTACATAATTGTGTTGAGTTGCAGTGTCTCCATTTGAGAAATGGGGATAAAAGATGACTAGTTTATAGAGTTTCTATGAGGACCAAAGAGGTTGTATAAAAGGAAATGCCTAACATAGCGCACAGGGTCTAACAGATGTGCAGTAAATGATTACTTAAATCAAAATGACATAAGCAGGATCCGTTCTGTTTAAATAAGAAGACCTCTTGGAGAATGGTTCAAAATGTAAAGAGAAATGACCAAGCTCGGTAGGGAGCTGTGTCCTCAGTCCGGTGCACGGTGTAAGATTTAGGGCCATATGTGGAAGCACAAGAACGAGTTGGTTGTAGGTAAAAGGTGGTGAATTATGCTCAAATATGAGCCAGTCATCTCGAGGAAGTCACTGCTATAAGATGCCATGGAAAATTTTTCTCAAGTGGTTCTAACACTACAAATACCAATAGTATTTGTCTAAATCGCCATACTTTGATGTATAACAAATCACAATGAAACTATTCCTTGTAGTAATTGATACTGTGAGAGACAGCGTGGCATAATGCAATGGAATGCAAATTGGCCTCAAAGCCAGAAGATGTGGATTCATGTCTGTTTCACTTAATTGGCATAGTCTTGGACTTCTTAGCTTGAGCCTTACCTTTAACATCTATAAAATAGGAAAAATAATGTCTTTCTTACTTTTCTTACTTTCTTACTTACTTTCTTACTTCCCTCCTGGAAGAGTGTCAGGATCAATTGAGATTTTTTGTTTGTTTATTTATTTATTTTGTGTGTGTGTGTGTGTGTGTGTGAGAGAGAGAGAGAGAGAGAGAGAGAGAGAGAGGAAGAGAAAGAGGGAGAGGGAGAGGGAGAGAATCCTAAGCAGGCTCTTCACTGATGGCGCTGAGCCTGATGCAGGGTTCGATCTCACAAACTGTGAGATCATGACGTGAGCTGAAATCAAGAGTCAGATGTTTAAGTGACTGAGCCACACAGGTGCCCCAAGATGTCCACTGTTGTTGTTTTTTTTAAGTAGTAAAAGTCATTTACTAAAAGAGTTGCCCGGGCTCTTGTTCTCTTTGAGGTGAACACACAGTAGAGGGCCTTATGTTTCTGTAGCTCCCTATATATAGCCAGCTTGCCCAGACCGTGTTTTGCTGCTAGCCTCTGCTGAGTCCATTTTGCTGCTCATTTGCCCAGTCTCTGCCATCCCCTTGGCCCAAGAGCAATTCAAAGATGGGTTGTGGCAGAAGTACCAGGGATCACACAGCAGCAGCAGGACCCCCTCTTGGAGACTCCTGCATTTGTGCCCTTGGTATGACTGCCTGGACCACTGTCATCCTCTTTTGCCTCTGTTTGCTGCTGATGGCTATAGCAATAGCTTTTATTGTCTTGCTTAAGGATTTCTGATGCTTTTGAAGGTTTTTTTTTTTTTTTCCTTCCATTCTGCTGAGCAAACAAACACGAGAGATCAGGGACAAGGCTCGAAGATAGGAGCTGGGTTTGATGATCAGTGAAAGGAGATAAGGCCCTTGACTTGCAGTATCCAGCTCCTTCCCAGAGAGGTCACGTAGTAGGGTTGTTAATTTAACCCTTCTCATTTTGTGTTTTCAGGGAGTCGACGAGTTGAAGATGAAGCCCAGAGCCGAGTGCTGTTCTCCCAAGTTCTGGTTGGTGTTGGCTGTCCTGGCCGTGTCAGGCAGCAGAGCTCGCTCTCAGAAGAGCCCCCCCAGCATTGGCATTGCTGTCATCCTCGTGGGCACTTCAGACGAGGTGGCCATCAAGGATGCCCACGAGAAAGATGATTTCCACCATCTCTCCGTGGTACCCCGTGTGGAGCTGGTAGCCATGAATGAGACTGACCCAAAGAGCATCATCACCCGCATCTGTGATCTCATGTCCGACCGGAAGATCCAGGGCGTGGTGTTTGCCGATGACACAGATCAGGAGGCCATCGCCCAGATCCTTGACTTCATTTCAGCCCAGACACTCACCCCCATCCTGGGCATCCACGGAGGCTCCTCTATGATAATGGCGGATAAGGTAAAGGAGGGAGTCAGGGAGGAGAACCTGGAGGGTTGTATTGAGAACTAAATGATGTGTGTGTTTGAATGCAAAACTTGATTATGAAAGAAAGTAACCAGAATGCATGGAGTAAGTGGATAGATCAGGAATCAGTCTCTCCCTTTGGAGATGAAAGTGAGGAGAAGATACTGGTATTTAGAGCTCCTGTAGTTTCGAACAGGTTTGTGTGTCCATTTGTTTGCAAATGGATTTGCTGCAATGACTAAGAGATGTTGAAGCTTGTAGTTCTTTCTGTGATACATTTTCTTCAAATATGTAAGTATGTGTATGAATAGCTCCTTCAAAACTTTAAAGTAAGGCGTGCTCTATTCTTTTTTGGTAACACAAATTCTCCCCCTGCCCAGCTTTAAGACTATAAAAAGAAAAATCCCTTCAGGCGGATTATTTGTCCCCTTGAAGATACAGATGTCACGGGGAAGTACTTCTTGCTAAGGTGTCCGTGCATATCACACATGGATCTACACATTGGAATGGATTTTAATCCACGGAGCCAGTAGTAGCTGCCTTTTCTCCATGCTTAGATTTGAAGGCAATGGTTCTTAACCCGGGTCGCACATTGGAATCAACTGAGGAGCTCTCAACACTACGGATGCCTGAATCCTTCCCCCAGAGATTCTGAACCGCCCAGATGCAGCCTGGGCTTCCGGAGTCTCAAAAGCTTCCCGTGTGATTCTAGCGTGTGGTTAAGGTTGAGCACCTTAGCTTTAAGGCCTCAAATAAATAGTAGACTCTAGTACATTAACATTAGATTAATTGTTCTATGACAAGTTAATTATCATCGGACACTGATGCCTATTCTTTAATTGCACAAAGTGTTTTCTTTGTGGTTATGTTTTGTTTTGACATTTTCCACTTACTCAGATATGTTCCCTTGCTTTATTGATTACAGCTCATTGCTTAGGGACAGCCCTTCTCACATATGTATTGCCCTTCGCGGTTATTCATATCTTAGAATGATTCATTTCACCCCAAGTGCAATTTTTATTGTTTTCCATCACGTTGGGTTTTTTAAAGGGTTCCTGTCTTTGCATTGTCATATTCCACTTCTTATCATTACTTTTGAAACCATCTTTCGTTTTGTACTTAAAAGACATGCTGTTGGGTTAATGATGTTTGTAAACACCCCAAAAGCTAGCACAGACACCACAAGCATGCCGAGAACCACCACAGTGCAGGGTTTAGCAGGCTAAAACAACCGTGCGTGATCATTACTGCCATCTGTCGGCAGGCAGAGATGACTCACTTCTGTTTTGGAGCTTCCTTCATTCAGTCTAGGAAAGGTCAAGTTGAATGAAGTACTAGGTGGAGGGAGCTCAGCTGCATATGAGAAAGGTATTGTTCCATTCACATGGGCACAGGAAGAGATATTAGAAAACACATTCTGGCACCGGAAACCCATGCTAAGGGCAGTGGGATAAACTTAAGCAGAATGGAAAATGTAGACTAACTGTGACCAACCCTTTGAGCTTTTGCTTCAGGTAGACGTTTTTAACATCATTTTCCTCCGCTGATTGTATTTTAGGAGTGGTATTTTGAGGGCATGGTATTGCACTGAAAGAATGCCAAGATGGATGAGCCAAATTTTTCAGTCATAAATAAGTGTATACTTATTTTGAGAGCACGACAAATGAAAATAGTTTGTTGTTGTTGTTATTCAGGCTATTGTGCATCTTACGTTATTTCATAATAACCTGCCCCTGCCCCACTAGAAGAGGTTACTGGCTACACTGCTCAGCTGCTTCTCTGTTGTATCTCTTACAAATGCATAATAACGATATAATAATATGAGGTAAGATGCAAAGACTGGGCTCTTTTGTCCATTGATTGGTTCTAGGTGCTTTAGTGTTTACCATCTGCTTGAGCACACAGCTCTTTGCAGGCATTATCGTATTTAATACTCTTAACGGCTCAATGAGCTAAGTCATATTATTTATCTCCATTTGACAGTTGGGGAGACTGAGGCCCTGAGAGATTAAAAAGCATAGCCGAAATGATGTAGCCAGTAAGTGGCAGCCAGGACTTTAACATGGGTTGCTGGCTCCAAAGGCCATGTGCTCTGTTGTCTTTCAAGAAAATGGAGACGCTAGTCAAGGTCTCGCATACCTTCCTGTTCTTTACTTCTCCATTATACAGCGCCGTGGTAGGTGTTACCTGACGAAAAGTAACCCACCACTTCATTCATAATGGCGATACTGGGGTCTGACTAGAGGAGAGCAGTAAGGAAGAGATGAGATGGTATAGCCTTAGGTATAACCTGAGTCCACAGCGGGCCTACTGGTGACTACCCCTGGGGGTAAAAGGGAGTATTGAAGGCAAGTGATTGTAATGAGATGCTCCCCCCGCCCCCCCCCCATCACCTCCCTACCATGGAACGACAAACAAATATTCCATCTTATCTTTTTTCTCTCTCCACCCCCCCCCCGCCAAAAAAGGGGAGAAGCAGTGGTTTTTAGGAAATTTCCTAAAATAGCCTAAAAATGTCAAACTGACTTTTGACCTGAAAAGATTTCCAAAAGGTAAGTAGAAAGAGGAAAAGGAAGAAAGAAGGAAGTCCTGATGCCACAGAAGCTGGAGGTTTGGAGGCTTAGCCCTAAGGGGTCAGGCACCTAAATGGCTGGTAGCTGCAGGGGAGGGAGAGCAGGAACCAGCACGGCTGAGTGGGCTGTGGGGCCAAGATTCCCAGCAGCTGTGCAGAGGACCATTTGTTGGCTTAAAGGATTTGTATGAAGGCAAACAGAAAGATCCCCCAGATCTCAGAGAAACCAGCTTTTGGGGCAAGTTTCAAAAATAAAACATCTCAAATTCTAAGGCCAGTTTTTTTTTTTTTTTAAATAGAAGTTTATTTTTAAGTACCATGACCATATTTTACAAACATAGAATGAGGACACAGAGTTTGACAACTATGAATCCACTGTGCGGCCACAGGACAAAACATCTGAAAATGGGACCAAGAAATACAGCTTTGCCACGTTTAAGGCCTAGTCTCTGAGATACAGGTACCATCTGAAGGATGATAACTAAGCTTTCCATTTTGCTTCCCCCTTCTAGGAGATGGGTAGTTGCCATCTCAGTTTCTACCTTAGTTTTGTTGTTGCTGTTAGCTTGTTGCATATAAGGACCACTTATTAAGTGTTCTTGTGGAAGATTCTATTACAGGAATAAAGTCCCTGATGGAAGGAGTTCGTAACGGAAGAAAACACTGTTAACAAAGATTTTTGACCAAAGTAGAGAGAGGCACAAGTTCAGCATCTGGTCCAATAGCTTGTACTCACTTTTTTTTGCGTATGCTAATTAATGAATAGAAACATGAATGAGGGTTCTACTTTCCCAATGAAGAAATGAACCTTATACCATGGCGGAAAGAAGCATTGGAGCTAGAAGAGTAGAGCTGTTTGAAGCTCAGAATTGGGGGTCGCGGCTGGTTTTAACCACCACCTCTAGATGTGGGAATCTGGACCACTTGCTAACCACTTACTCTAAACCTTGGTTCCCTTGCCTGTTGTAATGGGGACAATACTCCAGAATGTATTGTAGAGTTGTCGACGATTCAGTGAGATAATATATAGCTTCACCATGAGCTTCACCAAGTTTCCAGCACAGCGTTCTGTAGGCCAAGCTGACGGTTCTGTGGGGCAGTTTGAAGAAAAGGAGGCTTCAGGATACAGGAAAAGGATGGGGAATTGAATAGAGTCATGGCCAATTGTAGAGACACTGCTGAGCTGGACACGGTCCAAGAAGAGAGCTCAGGTGAAAATCTGGGGAGGAGCTCTGACACGTGGGGTGAGACCTTTGCCGAAGCTCATCGGTGGTATAGCCATGCCACAGCCAAAAAAGGCATGTTCGGCTATGGAAGAGCTTTAGCGAGGAAAGTACCGCTAGGTGCCTGTAACACAAGACTGTTTAGAATAGTAACGGAGACCATTTAAAAATGGATGAGGTGATTTTTGGCAGTTCCCCACCTGAGTATAAAGAGCCTACTTTATTTTGCCTTGTTATAATTGCTTTTATTCTCCCTGAGATCCTGGATTTAGGATGCCCATCCCAGTCCAAATAATGAACTAAAGCTAGATGTATTTCTGTTTCTTTTCAGGAGGTTTCTCTGCTGATTTGCTGAAATCTTTCTTGGGTTTTCAGATTTTAGCTCAGAGAGGTTAAATAACTAATCCAAGATACCACAGCTGGTGAGCAGTGGGAATGGGATTCACATTCCATCAGTACCTATTTTGAAGCTCATACTTGCTATTGATACAATTCTGCCTCACAAAATCCTAAAGTAAGAATTATAAGTCGTGAGCGTTAGTCTCCATTCTCACGAGCTTTGGAAATTTGAACAAACCAACCACGTAAACTTGGATGATACTCAGTCTACAGTTTATAAGATTTAAATTTTGTCTTCTACCCTCCCCACTTTACAACACTTTGAAGAGAAACTGAAATAAAATATGTGGACATTTCTGGAAAACTACTGTAGAAACAGTTGCTTCAGGTGAGGGATTAAGGAGCTGTGTGACAGGGAATGACAGACCTACTGACATTAGCATGAGGTCAATGAAAATAGTTTAGGCAGGTGGGAACTGCCTAAGGTGGGAAGGAGAACAGAAAGTGGAAGTTACAGTCGGATCAGACAAGAGAACACAAGATCCAATCTGTAATGCTGCAAGAATGGAAGGGAAGAGGGGATGCTGAGTAGAGGGTCAGGGTCTGGCAGTAATCTGTACCATATTCCTAACTTGTTCCTAATTAAAGGACATGTGAAAATATCTTACTCTGGAGCCTGTTGCTATGATTCTTTCCTTTCTAAATTGTTTGGCTGAGGATTGATGCTTTGAATAGCACTCTCATTTTCTGTGCAGAATGCCACAGTTTGAATCCAACTGGGGCTAGAAGATGGCCCCTACTCTTCATTGGCCCTATCTTTTCTTGCTCTCCCCCCATTGCCTCTGCCTCCCCCAACACAC